GGGCAGCTTTTGGTATGCCTCAGGACTTTGATTCGAAGGTGTGTTTATGAGAATATTAGCAAGGATGAGATTCAGAAGCTTTTTCCCAGTGAGGTACTTCCTGAATTGCAAAGACTATTGACGCTTTTGTTGCAGAAATTTCAAAAAGAATGGCGTGAAGAGGTTCTCAAGGACCAGGTCAGAGTTCATTTATGCTATATGATCTCTTCTGGCTGGCTGGGTAGAGTGCAAGGATTGTAATGTGACATATTTGGATGAATTATGTTCAGGTTGTTTTGCCTCGGTTAAAAGCAATGACATGGGACATGGGGAACCATGAGTCCACAGAAGTGGCAGACCCTGTGGCTGTTATCAATTTGAAGGTATGGAACTAAACATTTCACTTTTAGTAGGCATGGCGAAAGGCAATTTTTAGATCAATATTATACCAAAGCTGTAAATTGTCGAAGTAAATAAATTCTATAGGGAAGGTTTTGGAAGAATAGTTTGAAAATTTTCCTAAAAGATCACAATGTAATCATGTGCCTGTGCAGCTCCAAAATGACGCCAAATCTCAGCCAGGAGAATCAGACGTGAAGTTCCGATTGGCCAAAGATACTTTAGATACAATGCTGAGATCCATGTACTGTATAAGAGATCAGTTGTCTAACATGGTATTTTGCTATTATTCCCTATATGTGTTACTAACTGCAGATATTGTTTCTCTACCCTCTTGCTTTATCTAACCAGTTTATTATTATTGTCAGGATGAAACATCAAACCTGCATTCACCACAAGAAACCAATACAGTGTAGTTTACCAGCATAATTCACATTGGAAGGTATGGTTTGGATCCTGAATCTATTTCACCTGTTGAGTCCATTTGGTGGTTACTCCTGCTCTGTAGAAGAAGCTCCCCAGAATTATTGAAGTCATTAACTATTTTTTATTTAATCTATTGGTTGTTGGGGGTTTTATCTCCCAACCAGGATCCAATTTGTTACCTCACTGGTCCAACCCATAAGGAATCGTGCATAATTTTTGCCATTTTTTCTTTTATGGAAGTGGGAATATGAATGACGGACAGATGGAGAGAAAGAAAGTTCACATTTGTATTGCATTATTATTCTTCAATGTGTTAGATTCACGGTTTTGCTTACAAATATGTTTATAGAGGGAATATTCTGAGCTGACGATAAGGGTCAGCTTTAAAGTGTCGGTCATGAATACTTGTGGAAGTAGATATTAGAAATGGGTATAATTTTTGGGCATATGATGGTTTACGATCACCAGTTTTTTCTTGAGGAAGATTAGATATAACACAGCTGCTGAAACTGTGAAGTATTTGCAATAAAAAGGATTTTTGTTTCTGGAAGTAATGATTGAGTGTTCAGACCGAAATGAATGCTACTTTTTCTTTTCTGTTGATGTATATGTTGCTCATAATTCATGAATTTATTATTTTCTTATTCACTTAAGAATGGAATGAAATGAAAATTTACATGACATATTAACACCTTGGTAGGTATCACTCAAGCACGTGTCATGTTTGCTCAATGTAACTGATTAGATATTGTCTAGAATGCCATATGGAAACACATCCATAGCAGCAGCACCATGAACGTGCAAGCAAAGTTTTAATTTTCTTTTATTTAGCCTATGGTCATACAACACTGTCATATTGCAGATTCAATGGTGCGGCCTTCATATCAGAAAGAAAAAGATTTGGTGTTACCTTGTTCAAGAGGCTTCATTTGAGCTGCAAAGCTGGGTTCAACTGAAGTTGACAGATAACCGGAGGACTTTGATCTATTCAATACTCATGGCTGATCATGAACAATGAATTATGATTGACTCCAGAGAACGCGTATGGAGAATTTTATTCCATGTAAATTAGTCTTTCTTATCTATAAAAGAAAATTAAGTATGAAAGCAACTTTTTTGCTTATAGATTTATATTTCTATCATGAGGAAGGTAATTACGTCTTTCATAATGACATGTCAAAAGTATTTATCAGAGAACCCTTGATTTTTCTACATATTTCTGCTTGCTAGCATAAGAATAAATTGAAATGTTAGGCAAATTTGACCTGTTCAAACTTATTTAAACAATCTTCAAGCATGAGAAAGATTTTTTTTAGGGGCGAACGACAAGTTCCCACCCAAGGTTTGGCCTAATGACAAGTTCCCACCCTAAAAGTTTCAAAACGACAGTTTCCTACCCATCCATCCAATTTTTCCGTTATTTTAAACTTCTAAAGGATAGAATGGTAAATTAAGTTTATTTAAATTTTTTATTTTCTTTTATAAGTTTTGATAAACTGCTGCCAGCTACTGCCCCTTCCTCTTCCATAACCTTCATAACCACCACCTGATGGGGCCCCATGCGATTCCGAAGCATCTTTTTTTAGGTAAAAGTTAATTATGAAAATAATAAAGAATTACAGCAAAAGGGAGAGAACCTTAAGTGCCAACATCCTTGGCCATGACCAAGGAATAAGCTAGGATGTAACAATCATGGAGTAAACCAGTTGCTGCCTTGGCTAGACAAGAACAACCATAACCCATCGAAAGGAGGCAAAGAACAGCCCAAAATAAAGTTGAGTATGATTCCAAAACCCGATTGCATCAACCGTAACAAACATGTGCTGGCTTTGCTGGAAAAAATAGCAGCTCAAAATCCGCATGGCACAACACATGAAAAAAATCAAAAGGCCAGCCATAACCACCATTACAAGAAAAAGCTCCCCTGCCACTATTAAGATGCCAAATGCCGTAAACTAAAGCTACTACCAACACAATCGTCCAGTTATCCCACTGCCACCTCAAATTACAAAAGACAAGCTGCACCTTCAAATTCACTACTGCCTGGACAAGAAAAAACTTGTACATAATAACTTTGCAAATAAAGCAACACAAAAACAAATGTGCAACGCCTATTCTACAAGCAAGCCAAATCACAAAGTGCTTCACAATAATCCCCCAAACAATAATACTCATAACGCCCTCATTGGCTAGCATTAATACTCCTCTTCGCGTGAGCAAAACCCGACCCAAACACACCACCAAACTTCAATTCCTTCTCAACACAATCACCGTAACACACAACAATCATCAATCAAGAAAAATTGTATAAAAAAAGCTATCAAACAATCAAGTCTTCTCTCAGTCAACTCTGTTTTAACTCAGTTTGGCCAAAAAATGAAGCTTCTCAGCCGGACAGATCAAGTAGGCATGTGGCTCTTGCGCCGTGCCTTTAGCCAACACAAGGGCCTCAGGTGCCGACTAGATTTGGCCAGCAACAGCCACCGATAGAGAGAGGGGAAAGAAAAGAAGAGAAGAAAAGGAAAGGGAAAAGAGAAAAAGAAGGAAGACAACAAAAGAGAAGGGGAAGAGAGAAAAAATAGGGAAAGTGGCCTGGTGCGATTGAGAGAGGAAAGAGAAGAAGAGAAGGAGAAAAATTAGGGATTTTGTTTTTTTAAGTTTATATACAGGTCATAAAATGACATGATTATCCTTTAATTGTTTTTTGAAATTACTATTCTATCCTTCTGCAGTTAAAAAAACGGAAAAATTAGATGGATGGGTGGGATACTGTCATTCTGAAACTTTTCGGGTGGGAACTTCTCACTAGGCCAAACCTTGGGTGGGAAGTTGTCATTCACCCTTTTTTAAGTCATGAGATATTTTGGGTTAGGGCTGCCCCCTCGTTTCTTCCTATAATCCCTGTTGCTAGGAAAAGTCATACCCTTCCCAAACTGGAAATTTTTCTAATGGCTTCTGTAGATTACCAAATACCATTTCGCATGGGGCACATAGTTTTTGAGTAGCGACTATTCATTTTGACATGAAGAGACAATCGCCCTTTGCCGAATCTTTTGCAAAAGAATGTTGATATGAAATCAAGTTGGTTGAAATTTTTTGGAATTTAGAAGCACAAAAGGCGGCTTCTTGTGTATTTCAGAGACAATCAAGAAGTTGATGGTTCCGTCAATTGTGGACTCATTGAGAACGTTCCTTACAGAAAGGACATTATAATTTATAAGAGCTTTTTACTGACTGTATCAGTATGTCATGACTCTTGAATCCACAAATCTAATTTCAAATTACAACACTTTCACATTATGACTGATTGAAGTTTGACAATAAATAGATAAATAAATCAAAGTTTCACACCAAGTTTTTTTTTTTTTTTTTTTTAAGCATCCCAATTGATGGTCTACAAAGTTAGGTGAGACCAATGGCTTTGGGGAAATCAAATGCATCACGACTAACAGCTATTTGTATTTTCTATGGCTCGAGGAGTTGTTGGATCAGTCATCGCTCACCTTGGCTCAAGTTGACATTCACATTCATACTTGTAAATTCTAAACAACATGACATTATTTAAATCACAATGCAATAACAAGTGGGTGTTTATTACTTGTACAATTTAATTGTGAACCAATTTATGCGCACATTAACTAATCTTTTTCAATACCTTAGAATTATTGATCGAGTAAAAACTCTAAGGATCTCTAAAATAGTACACCCAAAAGTTCTTATCGAACTGTTCAGTCACATCAATTAATCTTTTTCAAGACCCTAGAACTATTGATCGAGTAAAAACTCTAAAGATCTCTAAAATAGTATATCCAAAAGTTCTTATCGAACTGTTCAGTCATCTAGAGATAATTAATCTAATCTAATGTTTATTAAACTAAGGTTTAATTCAATTCAAATGATTTAACTATAATTTTGTTAAATATTTATTTAGTAAAGGATTTTTTTTAAAAAAAAAAAAAAAAAAAAACCGAATCCAATTGCTTATGTAACTTTAATGTAGTTAAAATTAATGGATATGGATTAAAATGAGATTTAATCTAATCGAACAAAAGATAACAATGTCCTAAAATTTGATTCATTACAAGACAAGAAGTCAAGTCACGAATGTCCGAAAAATAAAAAAATGTTAAAATACCAGAAAGAACCTCACTGTACAGCATCTATCCCAAAACCCTTACACAAACAACAGTACCAAGATAATAAAGACAACAACAAATTCTTCCCTTACGTTATTACTATCCCCTCTCTCTATCTCTCTCATTCTCTTTGCCTTTCTCATTTTTACATCAAGCGAAGCCGGCCAAAACATTTATTGGGATTTTTTCCTTTTTCCATTTCACTTCGCAAAAATTTCCCAAAATAAAAATTTTATTAGTATTATTATGTTTCCCGAATTAAATCCCTAATTCTTCCATTTCAGTTTCGATTAGGATATCAAACCCTGTTTCTTTTTCTTTTTCTTTTGTTGGCAAGGCTTAGCTTGTTATCGTTTTGCAAACCCTAGAAATAGTATGGCGACAACTACCACGACCAGCATAAACACCGGCGGGGAGGACCGGGTCCTGGCGACGGCTCAGCAGATCGTCAAGAGCCTCAACACTCCTAAAGAAGTTCGCGAAGACATGCTTTTAATCTTCTCGAGCTTCGATAATCGTCTTTCGAACATCGGGGATTTGGTCCGAAGCGAGTCTAGTGGTCCCCACCGGTTTGAATCGGTGGAGAAGTTTATTCTCCGTTGGGACTGTAACTTCAACTGGGAGGATTCTCCTGACGATGCCGCCGAGTATCTCGGAGCCGTTGATGAGATTTTGCAAATGATGGATGAATTGTCTGTTCGAAACGAGAACGAGATGATGGACCGGGCGGAGAGCGCGATCCAGATAGCTATGTCGCGTTTGGAGGACGAGTTTCGTCATATGTTGATCCGGAACACGATTCCGCTTGATGCTGATCATTTGTACGGATCTATTAGGAGGGTTTCGCTGTCTTTTGCTGCAAATGATGGGGATATCGATGAGGAGTTTGAGAGTTTTGGAGAAGTTGGTGATGGGAGCGTGAGGTTTCACGAGAGGGGAGCGAGTTTAGGTGATGACGTGTGTGTGGATTTGATTAATGCTGATGCACTTGGTGAATTGAAAGAGATTGCTGATAGAATGTTAAGGTCGGGTTATGAGAAAGAGTGTGTGCAGGCTTATAGTAATGTTAGGCGTGACGCATTGGATGAATGTTTGGTTATTCTTGGTGTTGAGAAATTGAGTATTGAAGAAGTGCAGAAGATTGAGTGGAGTTCTTTGGATGAGAAGATGAAGAAGTGGATACAAGCCATTAAAATCGCGGTCAGGGTTCTTTTGTGTGGTGAAAAGAGGCATTGTGATTATATTTTTAATGGTTATGAATCCACAAAGGAGGTTTGTTTTAATGAAACTGTCAAAGGGTGTGTGATGCAGTTGTTGATTTTTGCCGAGGCTGTGGCCATAGGAAAAAGGTCGTCTGAGAAGTTGTTTAGGATTTTGGATATGTATGATGCTTTGGCTGATGTTTTTCCAGACTTGCAGGCAATGGTTACTGATGAGTTTGTTTGCAGTGAGGTTAATGGGGTTTTAAATGGATTGGGGGAGGCTGCCAAAGGGACTTTTGCAGAGTTTGAGAATGCTGTGAAAAGTGAAACTTCCAAGAAGCCTATGCAGGGTGGAGAGATTCATCCACTTACTCGTTATGTAATGAATTATGTGAAACTGCTTGTGGATTATAGTGAGACTCTCAATCATCTGTTGCAAAATGATGAAATTGAAGCAGATGGTTTGCAGACTGATGGAGATAATTTGGAGAATATGTCTCCAATTGCATGCAGATTGTTGTTATTGTTGACGTCTTTGGAATCAAATATTGAGGAGAAATCCAAACTTTATGATGACAGTGCGATGCAGTATATATTTTTGATGAATAATATTCTGTACATAGTGCAGAAAGTGAAGGATTCTGAGCTCAGGAAGCATTTGGGAGATAATTGGGTTCGCAAAAGGCGTGGTCAGGTACGCCAGTATGCTACAAGTTATCTAAGGGCTTCTTGGAGCAGGGCCTTGTCTTGTTTGAAGGATGAAGGAATTGGTGGGGGCTCCAGTAATGCCTCTAAGGTGGCCTTGAAGGAGAGATTCAAGAGCTTCAATTTGTGTTTTGAAGAAATATACAGGGTTCAGACTGCTTGGAGGGTCCCAGATCCTCAACTTCGTGAAGAACTTAGGATTTCAATATCAGAGAAAGTGATTCCAGCTTACCGCTCATTTATGGGAAGGTTTAGGGGACAGCTAGAGAGTGGAAGGCATGCTGGGAAATACATAAAGTACACACCAGAGGATTTAGAGACTTATTTGTTGGATTTGTTTGAAGGATCACCAGGTGTTCTTCATCACCTGAGAAGAAAGAGTACATAGGATTCAGAGCTCTTGTAACAGGTAAGCCTCATGCTTGTCAAGGACTAGGAGCTGTAGAGTGTACCTGTTAAATGTATCTTGATGATATGCTTTTGTTGTTGGTGTTAATGTTATAAACACAGGTTTTTTTTTTTTTTTTCCTCCTTTTTTGGTTAACCTTGCGAACTCTATATACTGTATTAAGTTCTGTACATGTTATATAGACTGTAGTTTATGTATTCGTGGATCCTGTAATGGTTCATGTATTTTACTTTCAGGAATCACCATCAGTATTTAATATTGGCCACACCTTAATCTTTATCTCTTTGTAATTTTCTAGATTCTTAGGATATGAGTGTGTGTTTGTGTGCACATGTGTGTTTGGGAGAGGGGTTGTAGGATGATGTCTAAGGTTAGTCTGCAAAATGGAACACCCTACAAGTTGTAATAATGTGCTGTGACGGAGTTTTTGTCTCTTCACACATTGAATGGAGTATTCTCTGTATGTTATTCTATTGTAAGTAAGAAATTGTTCTTTCTTTCAAAATTTCTTGTTGTATGAAAACTTCCTGGAAAAACTTTTAGTTTCTTTCCTTAAAATCAAACGGGCTGTTGTGGTACTGAAATTTAGAGAAGTTGCTCAATTATGTAGGTCTGCTTCTGCATCATTCCTTTAAAGGCTGACCATGATAGGAAGTTCATTTTCTGCTATTTGAATTTAACTTATAAAATTAATTAGAATGGTTGAATCAAATTGGTAGTCTTCAGCTGGATACTGTGCTTAGACTCAAGGTTGATTTCATAATTCACAGAATTCAACATGTTAAAAATTAGTTTAGCTTGTTAGGTGTGTAGATCACGTGTCAGAAACTCTATAACCGTATCATGTTGGACATTTTTCTTTATCAATGTTTGGCATGCTGCACCGTAGCAGCATGGATTTGTATTTAAGTGTGTTTAGCAATGCTTCATTCCCTGCATAGAATTAACCTCTATTTAGTTCAATTTTTTTGCAAATGGGCAATTGTGTAGCCTTTACACAGTTTAGTGGATAAACCATTTCTTGAATAATTTGAATAATTACTTTGTTACCATGTTAACTTTTGTTCATCATACGTATAGACATACTAGTTAGAGATGAATGCATATGGTGTTGAATCCATGTGTCCTGATTTTAGGGAGTTATCACATCCATCACTCCTTGCAGAGCTGATTTTTTAGATGTGTTATGATTTTAAGGAGATACTGCATCCACCACCCCTGCACAGTTGAATTTGAGACTTTTGTTTACGGATATTAGGTTCTAATTACTCAGATGTGGAATAATTGTGGAGGTTTATGGATTTCAAATTGAGTACTTTAGTGTTTCTATACGTTTAAATCTTATTCATTACTACTAATGGCAAAGGCTAAGTCATTGTTTTTTGTGTGGCCAGCAATTATTATAAAATGCACTGAAATTTTCTCCAAGTATGATAATATTGTGCAGAGGTTGATATGAGAATATTGTTTAGAGGCTGATTAACTAGGAAAAGTCAGACTTCACAGCCCTACTATTGATTGGACTCATTTCAAACCACAAGGAATTTCAAAAACTTAATTGGGCGCCGCAATGAGTACTAGTGCTGGAAATTTATACTTTTGCAGCAGTTGATAGTCACAAATTTGTTAGGACTATATGAAGAATGTTACTTTTTAGGCTACTTGTATTATCCATCTCTTGTGATATCTTGTGCGCTAATATTTATCTATGCTATTGATCTTCAAAAGCTTTAGCTGCTATGAGAACTTTTTAAAGTTCTACAAACTTTATATTTTCTTTTAGTTTTGCTGCTTGGGAATACTTGGAATGAATTTTCATGTTGTAGAAGTTAAGTGGGGGCAAGTATAAAGATTTGGAAATTTGAAGTAAAATTATCTTGGTATCACCTAATACTGTAAGGGATACAAGAATAGGTTGTTGATCACCTGGACATTTGAAGGTTTTATCTTTATCAACATTTTTGTTGAACTTAGATTTGTTCTGGAAATCCTACTGAATTGAACTAGGAAATCTTCTACTTGATATTTTGTTTAAATTTTGTGAAGGGGTAAACAGTTTACAGTTGGAAATTAGTTTCTTGGATGGTACAATAGTGGTTTGCTTTGGTGTCTGGGTGGAAAAACGCATTTTTTCTTTCAATCTTAAATGTGTACAACTTCCAGGCAGACACAAGCATATGTTAAAATACATGCCTAGGCATTTCATTTTGGGTTTGGCGAAATTTGATGTAAAGATTTAAGTCAAATAACTGAGAAATGGGCTAGAGAAGTGGCATGGTGGATTTGTCATTCACAAAATTCAACATGTTAAAAGATGCTTAAAATGTTCATAAATCATGGCACTGGCATAGAAATGTGGAAATCCATTTGGTTATATATATTTATTGTAATTCTATCCACAAATAATGATGTCACAATCTATCTAATCTTGTCTCAAGTGTGCCAGAGGGGCATGGTGTTCCCGAGCAACCGGAGCACGAACTACATAATGATAAACTCGAGTTTGACCAAAATTGTGCCATGTGTGGTCGTTCAAATTTCAAAATCAAAATCCAAGTACAATCGTATCTTAATTCTAGATTAGTCTAAAACATCGTGATTTGATTTGCAGCTTCACTGGTTAAGTGGTTCATTCAGACGCGTTTTCTGTTCAATGGCCCTATACAGCATGACCCAGAACGCCACCTGTTTGCATATGGGGCTAGGTGGTTCAAATTAAATTCGTGTCAATACCAGTTCCTACAGACGTTTAACCGTGGCCAATTTAGCACTGGAATCTCACGACAAGCAAAGCTCATTTATTGGTTGGTCAATTTGGACAAACTCGTTGGCAGAGGCACATGGTGATGCCTGCATTTACACAATCTTGCAGATTCTACACAACCAGTATGTTGATGGTATGGATCATCTAACCATTTGGTCCCACTATTGGCTAATGTTCATTTTCCAGCCCTCAAATCTTCGACCAAGTCGCAACTGTGGGCTTTGCTGGCCGGACCAGTGGCTGAATAGTTATCAAACTGCAAAAGCTTATGGAAACATTGAAACGAACGAGTTATTGTCGTCAGTAATGAAAGGAAATTGTCTATAAATAAAATAGATATTGCGAAAGGCTGGCTTTGTGTCTCTATTAGGGAACGAACTTGTATTTTAATGCCAAGACTTAAAAGAGAACCATCCAAATATGATTTCAAGAAAATGAGGCCTTTGTTCTTGACAGTGTATATCTTTTGTTTGCACACAATATTTGAGGAAATGCACATATTGCATTAACAAAATAGCTTGGACGCAGCATAAATCCCCATTAGACTCATAGTTGCCCCCATCTCTTTTATGTTGAATGCCTCAAATACCCCTACTCTGGCTGTGTTTTAAGGCAAAAACGCATCAACTTAGGATAGGTAATATATTGAAAAGACATGAAAAACTTTTCTTTTTTGTATACCCAATTACCAGCCTGCATTGGAGTCCTGCACTCTTAAGTATATTTTTTTACTGTAGACCAACTAACTCAAAGCCGCCCCAGCTTTCATCCTCCAAAATTTTAAGGTTGTAAAGTGGCTCAAAAGGTCTTATCATCAAAACACTACAGTATATTTGAATATCAATCATAAATAATTTAATTATCAGAATTTTTGAGGTAAAGAATAGTACAAGATCAGATAAATTTTCATTCAGCTTTTACCAACGAAATTACACAAAACATTTAAGAAATAGACAAAAGACTAATAACAAATTTTATTTGCTCTCACGTCAAACTAAACATTCTCATCAAAAGGCAAACTAAAAGAGGGTTGGTATTATTAGAATATTCTATATAGAGGCTGACATGGAGTGGATACAGCAACATATACAGAAAGTTTTAACTCTATCAAATCAGATAAAATTTTAATTACATGAGCATCACCTATATTACAATCATTATTATCCAACCATCTCTCCAACACACCACCAACAGAAAAAGCAAAGACCACTTGAAGAAAAAAGCGTGTTAGCTATCGGACGAGTTATAAGGAAAATTCTTATTACTTCTAAACCCTGCTGTTAGCAGGCAATGGCAAAACGCCATCGAAAAAATCCCCAAAGTAGCCACGGGGCTCATGTACTAGCCTTGAGATAATGTCTCTTAGTGTAATCACCCCTTCCAAATTCCCATCATCATCAACAACATAAATTCGGTGGATCTTTTTGGAATCAAGGAGCTGAATCAGTTCTTTGATTGTGTTGTCGCTTTTGCACGTAATCATGCCACTTACTAGTGGTGAGTCGTCGTGATGATTTTCCAAATAGTTTTTCACTGCAGTTAGGAAGTTCTTTGCTGTGATAGATCTGTGCAATCACAAAAATTTGTATCAGTAATTTAATTATCTCAACCAAAAACTTTGCACAATGCTGGCTACAGACCTATAATCATGGTAGATTTCCGGTGCAGTTAAAAGGAACTGAGCATCTCTCAGGCTTATATTCCCAATTGCCTTGTTACCACCACTTTCAACAACAGGTATGCCTCCAATTCTGTATCTCCGCATCAGCTTAAATGCCTGGAGCACAGGTTCATCCTCATACACCTAAAACAAAGAATGCAAGTATTTAAGAAAGACCGTTGAAAAGTTAACAGAGGTGAAGGGAAATCCACTTTGCTTGAATTAACTGGGCTTATCCACACACCTTGATAATTTGTTTAAGTGACATCATGGGAAGACCAATTTCTGAAAGTTTTTTCATTCCCCAGCTTTCAAACCATTGAAGGCCAGCACATTCTGCTAACATGTGAATAACTGAAGATTGGGTGATTATGTTATCAATCTTTCCCTCACCAAAATCTACCACAGGAACACTCTTCATTTTGTACTTTGAAAGCAACAAGAGCATGGTCAAGAAGGAGTTCGAGCTTTGCAAGGCAAGGAATGGGGCCCAGCGGAATGACCCTGAGATATCCCCGACCTATAAATTGAGAAGTTAATATTTGCCACAGATTTTTGAAGCAAAAGTAAAACTATGAAAGTTATCAAATTGACGTTGGAATTGTGACCTTTGTGTTCTTATATAAGTCGGAAGTAGTCAAAGCTTCAAAAAAGTTTCCAGAAGTCATTGCAGCAGATTCAGGGCCTAAACTCTCAAGTTCAACAGTCTTCTTCATGCCATTAACTGCAGCAGAAAAAGCTGTACGCCTATTTGGACTCCTTGGAGAAGGAGGTTCTGTCTGTCAAAAAGAGACAACATTTTATTTTCAGTTCCCTGACCAAGTCAGATAAATACAAAGCCAAAGAATCACCATCTCTTTGAAACTCAAGATTAGGCGGCATTCCCTAAATTATGGAAATATTTTTGTTCCATTACTTTTTAGGGTATTCAATGTTTGATATTATTAAAACAGTAACAATACTCAACAATCATATAGCTTGCAAGATAACTGAACTCCAAACCACTCCATTTTCAGTGAAAAAGATAGACAACAATACTAACCTGATGCAAAATCCATACAACAATTCCAGCAAACTCAACAATTCCAATGTATCTATCCATCCAACTCGCATCCTCCGATGCATTAACATCTACAACAGGTGCACTGAGAATTTTGTTCTGGGCCAGTATATCAACAGCCTCAGCTAGACTGGTGTCTGATTTTATCTCAATCACTGCATACAAAAAATCTATGAATATTAGACCAATAAAAACAAAATACAAAAGAAAAAAAAATGATAAACAAGTAACAATATCATTACTTCCATTACTCAGATCATATTTAAAAGCTGCGCAAATGTACACGTAGACATGAATCTAAATAATCTAATCATCTCTTCCGCAAAAGGGCAGGGAAGAATTGTGATTTCAAGAAACAGAAACGCTTACCAAACTCTGTTTTTTTTTTTTTTTTCCAACTAATGAACATCATCTAATTCAATAAGGGCTTATATCCAACTATCACCAAAGGCCGTCTAAATCCAATCATGTTGTGGCAACAGGAGAGGGAAGATCTTTTTATTTCAAGAAACAGAGCCTCTCATTTATTCTCGTGAATATCATCTCAACAAAACCAATCCAATCCAATCATGAGGACGGAGCCACCAAAAAGAGGGCTACTTAAACAAAAGTCAACAAGAGTATGCATCCATCTATGATCAAGGAAGTGTATTCAAATTAATCATATTTTACATTCAATAATCAATACCGAATTCAACAAAGGTCAACAAGCAAACCCATATGAGGGAAAAAAAAAAAAAAAATATATATATATATATATATATACCTTGAGAGGAAGGTGCAGGAGGAAAGGCAGAGAGGGGGATGCTCTCAAAACAAGCATTAAGCTTCTCAGTAGGACTCAACTGTGGCTCCAGCACGTCCCACAGATCCTCCACTTTCATCCCCACCTCCGCCTCTGGACTCCTCGGACTATCCTGCTGCCCTGTACTACTCTCTTGTCTCCGCAAACGCAAACTCGCCATCGCCACTACTTTCTCTCTCTCCCTTTCTCTTCCTTTTCTTCTTCTATATAACTCCAAAATTGGCAGGCTTAATAATCAATCTCAAGCCCTTTAACTTTAACTATGGTGTATTAATTAGATAACCGTTTATTTTATGCACCGTTTAATCTGTCCGTTGAAGGCACGAGAAAGGAGGGAAAATGCCACGTGGAGAGATGTGATGAGGGAATTGCATGATTGGTGATGGAGTAGCATGGTCAAAGTAAAATGGATATAATTGAGTTGACGTGCAAATCGCTGATGCTTATCCGTTTGGCTATTAGTTTATAATTGTCAGAGAGAATGAAGGTTCTTATCCCGATCTTTAATGAAGGCCAGTGGCGTGTCACTCCAACGTGCACTGGTCCTTTCTTTACGACAAAAATGCTGATTCGGATTCATGACATGGCGGCTGCCCCTTGTTTTCCGGTTTTGTCTTGTTCTCCATCTGTAGGGTTACTAGGGTATGGCTGTTTTATTATTGGAAAAAATTACATAAACCTACCTCAGGTTTGATAATTAACAGACGACACCTTCCAACCAAGTATCTCTCACAAACTAACAATCATCTACCCAAAAATAGATAACATCCGTTATGTTCAAGTGTGTCTTTTATGTTTACCTCTTTCGATAAAATATTTATCAAGGGATTTTAATAATTTATAGGGTATATAATACTTTCTAATAATCGTAAATGCGTTTAATGTTAATTGATCTTATGGTTTAATAAATTTGTTTTTATTTTTTTATAAGGAGAGTATTTTCATAATTTCTAAAAATTTAAACACTTTTGCAGGTCATTGATAATTTCTAAAATGTTTGGTTGGACATTTTTAATGGTATATGAAGAGGTCCCTTGTCTATTTAGCAAATCAGAGGATCAGGCCTAAAATGATATAAAATTGATTCAACCTGAACTGGAGGTGGGCTACCATGTTTGTAAGAGAACGGGCTCTAGCCGTCCATGGCCCAAACACAAACCACTGCCTGATTACAGCCCACCGAGTTTACTTTAATTTGATCATACTCTTATCTACATCTTTCTGTTTGAGGGTTTACGATTTTAGGGTGTTTATATATTAAAATTTATTTATTTATTTATAAAAACATGGTAAGAGTATTCTTTTTAATTCAAAAAGTTCCTGATGTGTTATGCATATTTTGCAAAAATACTGTAAAATGCATTGGAGAATAAGAAAAAAAATAAAAAAATAAAATGTATAATGCTTCTAAGTAAAATTATTCTTTATTAGATATTTTTCTAATTTAATCAATGTTAAAAATAATTAGTATAATTATCATTACAAGTTCAAATACATTTATTTGATCATATTGTTTATTGATTTTAAAAACACTATCAAATGCACTTTCCAAGTTGTATATTTAACTATGCATATGTATAGTTTTCATAAATTTGATACAATTTCAAACAATGCGTTTATTATTGTTATATTGATACCATTTAACATGACTAGTCAAGTAATCCATAGAAGTAAAATGTAAATTAGTTTATTTTAGGAAGAGTCTATCTTTTAATTAATTATTTTGTTTATATTGAACAAATTTATGTGTAGACACAAGTAGTTCATAGGATTCTGAATTTTGATAATTTTGTTATTAGAATATACTTATATTACTTTTGTTTGACCTTAAAATTGTAATGCCCAAAATCTAATGGTTCTTTATTGCCCTCTAATCACCGATTGGTACTAGAAATTGATACAAGATGGAATTTACAAAGATGATCAATGAAACTACACATAGAATGTAAGCATAAGGTGTTGAACAGTCAAATTGTCTTCCCTCTATTCCTTGAATTCCATCTTGTATACAAGGTGCTTGATCATGGGTGGTTACCTTACACACTAAACTTAGGAGTCATGGTTTATCGCTTTTTAGGTCATGGGGCATATTCACATGAATTTTTTTTTTTTTTTTTTTAATCTCTACCACAATTTGAGGGAAGTGGATTGCAACATGCCCTTTTATGGCTTTTAGGCTTCTTTACTCAATTGGATTTGAGTCTTTTGGTTTGGACATGTCTTCACTCTTTGACCTTAGGCCTGGGCCCTTTAATTTTAAGACTAATATAAGCCTTCCAAATCGCTAATTAATATTTATATTAATTAAGAGATTTTTGAACTCTTACCAGTTACCAGAACAAAAACGCATGCCAAGAACCTCTCTTCCCTCTTTCTCTCATGGTGCAGGTGCTCCAAAGACTAAACTCTCAAGTTGCTCTCAGCGAACTCTCCTTCCAAGTCTCAACCAACACTATTTTTCATCAATTTATCAAAAGGTAACATCTCTAATCCTAAATCCCTAATTTTCTCTATTTAATTGATGTTTTACAATTTTAGAACTTTTGTTATTGCATTCTTCCAATAAAATTGAGTATTATATATTTAGAATTTAAGATTTGAAGTATAACTAAACCTGAATCCTGCTCCTAATGGCCAACCAGAGTCGTTGAAGGGGCCCTTATCATTTAGCCAATGCGGCAATGCCTAGACGTCCCCATGCCTACTTGTGAATTTTGAGAGACAAAGGTGTTCCTGTAAACCTATTGGCAACCCACATTAGCTCACACCAGCCATAAGAAGTCTCTCTGCAAACTGCAGTACCTTTCCCCTGTTGTTTCTCCCTTATAGTAAAATATTCCTAAGAAGCAATATGTCCCAGTAAGAGACTAAAAGTAATGTCAAAGAATCCAAGCCTGAATTTCCCATATAGTATAATATTCTTAATAGAATAATTTTAAGAGATAATGTTATCCATAAATCAAATTGAATGATTTAGTGATGATATCTTTATGTTCATGAGATGATAGTGAATTATGTGGCTGTTTATAATTAGGTTGTTTGTTGTTGATTATTGTTTATGTTTAGTAAAAAAACTGCACAAAATATTAAAAAAAAAAAAAAAAAAAAAACCCTATCCTTTTGCTGTATCAAATAAATTATAAGTTATATGGTTTGTGGTCCCTTATGTTTGTTTGTGGTCCCCTGATGTTTGTTTGTGGTTTGTGGTGCCTTGATGTTTTCTTTATTGCTTGTCTAATGTTTGTAAGGCCATCACATGTTTATTGTTAAACAAAGTACAAACCAGTTTCAAATATTTTTTCTTGTTGCATGGAGATCTTTGTCTATTCTTGAAAAGAAAATGAGCATTAAAACAATCCACAGCTGTGAGAATACTTGATACATATATCAAAACATTGGCACAAATAAATACAAACATGATCCAGGGACCATAAAGCACAAAAATGGCAAAAGGCTATTGACTTGCATTAAATAAAATACATAAGATTTTTTCAAAACCTCAATGCTATCTTTTGCCTTCTCCTTGAACTCAATGCAAATGTGCAATTGCAAGTTATACCAAAAGATGCAATAATGATAACAGGCTTATGTTACAAAAACTTATTATCAAGATAAACAACAAAAACTTATTGCAAAAGCTTACTAAAACTTATTATTAACATAAACAACTAATTATTTCTAGAACTTATTACCAACAACAAAAAAAAAAAAAAAAAAAAAAAAACTTGTTACAAAAACTTAAAAGATGCATATTTAAGATTTTTAATCAAGCACAAAAAAATATTAGTTCTTTGTTGACAATATCAAAAACTTTTTAAACTTTATAAATATAAACAACTAATTATTTATTGTTTCTAAAGATTAGCTTAAGAAATCATTGTTTATGTATCTTTTCTTTCATCCTCATTAAATTACTTGAATAAATCAAATTTTATAAAAAGAGTTGACTTCTTTTTTTCTATAAATATGCATGATTCATGTTAAATGAGTCTAAAAGGAATTCAAACCCACAAAATATCATATTCTTATTGTCTTTCCATTACTATGGATGTAAATCACTATAATTCATGTTAAATGAGTCTAAAAGGAATTCAAACCCACAAAATATCATATTCTTATTGTCTTTCCATTACTATGTATGTAAATCACTATAGGTTATTATTCTTTTACAATTTCTTATTGTTTTATTTGTTTATAACTTCTTATTAGGTATGCAATATGAATGAATTTCTCAAAAGAAAATCATCAATAGACCAATCATCATCACCAGTCCAAGAAAGTAAAGCCAATGATAAAGAAAGTGATCCATTAAAAGAAAGTCATGTAGAACTAGAAGCCATCTTGAAAGGTCTTCCATCTGATCCAGCTCTACGGCCTAAAATCAATTATTATCATCCTAATTATAGCGATGCAATTCGAAGATTTTACTTGCAAAAGAGTTCTTGCCAGCCTCAAAATCATGCATTTCCACTGACAAAATTTGGAAAAGGATATCGTCGATTTAATCCTGCTTGGTTTGATGTGTATGGCAATTGGCTTGAGTATAGTGTGACCAAAGATGTTGCATTCTGTTTGTATTGTTATCTTTTTAGACCTGCCATTATAAGCCAAGTTGGTAGTGACGCTTTCGTTAGTGAGGGATTTTGTAATTGGAAGAAACCAAAACGCTTTCAAATTCATGTTGGCCAGTCAAATAGTGCTCATAACCAAGCACGACAGAGTTGTGTGAATTTAATGAATCAAAAGCAACATATCGAAGTGGGCTTTATCTAAGCAATCAGATCAAGTTAGGATTGAATACCGAACTCGCTTGACTGCATCCATTGTTTGCATTAGATTTATTTTGCGTCAAGGGTTGGCATTTCAGGGTCATGCTGAAACTGAAGACTCGAAGAACCAAGGTAACTTTCTCGAACTTCTTCATTTTCTAGCTTAGCATAATGAACATTTTAAGAGTGTTGTTTTGAAGAATGCACCTATGAATCTTAAATTGATAGCACCAGTGATTCAGAAAGATATTGTGAATACTGCGGCAAATGAAACCACAAAAGCTACATTAGTGATCTTGGAGATGACATATTTTTAGTTTTGATTGATGAGTCTCGTGATGTGTCAATTAAAGAACAAATGGCTATTGCCATACATTATGTAGATAAAAAGGGTCATGTACTTGAGCGATTTCTTGGCATTGTACATGTTAGTGACACAACTGCAGTATCACTTCAGATGGCTCTTGAGTCATTATTTTGTAACTATGGATTGAGTTTGTCAAGATTACGTGGACAAGGTTACGAGGGGCAAGTAATATGTAAGGAGAATTTAATGGTCTGAAAAGTTTGATTTTGAGGGAGAATGAATATGCTTATTATGTTCACTGTTTTGCTCACCAACTTCAGTGAACACTAGTAGCCGTTGCAAAAAATCACATTTCTGTTGCTTCGTTTTTCAGCTTGGTTACTAATTTGATAAATGTTGTTGGAGGTTCATGCAAGCGTGGAGATATGATTCAGGAGAGCCAAGTTAATAAACTTGTTGAAGCGCTAGAAATTGGTGAAGTTAGCAAGGGACGAGGTTTGAATCAAGAGACAAAGTCTAAAACGAGCTAGTGATACATGTTAGGGCTTGTATTATTATACATTGATCAACTTAATCCTTTTGTTATCCTCTATGGGCGATGTGCTTAAGGTTATTGAAGAAGATGATTTAAATTCTGAACAAAGGGGTGAAGCATGTAATCTATTAGATTTAATCTATTCCTTTGATTTTGCATTTAACTTACATATGATGAAAAGTATATTGGCAATTACTAATGAGTTGTCACAAGCATTGCAGAGAAATGATCAAGACATTGTAAATGCTATGGCTCTAGTCAAAGTTTCCAAACAACGGTTACAATTGTTGAGAGATGAAGGATGAGAATCTTTGTTGAGTGAAGTTTCTTCATTTTGCCAAAAGCATGATATTGCCATTTTGAATATGGATGATATGTTTGCAATTCGAGGGCGGCCACGACGGAGAGTTGAGCACATGACAAATTTGCATCACTATCGAGTTGAATTGTTTTATACTGTGATAGATATGCAACTTCAAGAACTTAACTCTCGTTTCACTGAGGTTAGTACTGAGCTGCTTCTTTGTATGACATGTTTAGATCCAAGTAATTCATTCTCTACTTTTGACAAGCATAAGTTGATCCGTTTTGCCCATTTTTATCCATTTGAGTTGATGGTACTTGAGAACCAAACTGAGACTTATGTTATTGACGTGTGTTCTTGTGATGAATTTGCTAAATTACAAGGAATTTGTGATTAGTTAAGAATTTAGTTTAGTTTAAAAAAGATATTTTGTATCCATTGGTGTATAAGCTTGTGAAACTTGCATTGGTTTTACCAGTTGCGACTGCGACTGTTGAAAGGGCTTTTTCTGCAATGAATCTTGTGAAAAGTCGGTTACGCAATCGAATGGGAGATCAATGAATGAATAATTGTTTGGTCACATATATTGAGAAAGTGTATTGGAAACAATTGACGATGAGATGATTATTCAACGTTTTCAGAATATGAAAACTCGTCGAGGACAATTGTAGAAAAATTATGTTTTTTGAAGATATGTATTTATATTTTGTAACTTTTTGTTGAAGCTCATCCTAATGAAAAAAAAATATGGTTATGATTGATTTAAATTTTTTTTTTTTGTTTATTTTTTACCCCCATCGAGTGAAACTCTTGGATCCGCCACTGGTTGTGCCGTTTATCTATTTCTGCCATGGAATCTGTAAATTTTATTATTGTGCATGAAAAACAGAGAAGAAAGGACAAGCAGAATTTTAAATGTGATAAGAGAGTTGTATTTAGCACGTGCAGTGGCCTACCATTGCCATCAGTTTCAGCTCAGTTTGTAACTTATTGAGGGGCAGAAACTTGAGAATAATTAATCTACTGGGGACTACAGTTCTGGATTGCGTGTCACTAACTCTCGTCTTGATGCAAAAAATCTTCAAATTTAATCATTATATACATTTTTTTTTTATAAATTAACTCCTCTTCACATCCCCTAACATTTGGTAACATTGAATTGACATTTTTCATTGTTAAAAGATTATAGAAGGAAAAATATAAGTAACTTTTCATGTTTAAGGGCACTTTTGCAGCTGCAGTTGAGATGGACTTCTTGTATCACTTGCAATTTGAAGGTTAGCCTACAATCAATTCTGGCCACAACTTTCCTCATTCTGCTTAAAAGAGAAAAAAAGTCGACGCAATCTATGAATTACGGCGCAGAACTTGGAGTGGAGTGGAGAGGAGAGAAATACAATTCCATCACAAGCTCTTCAAGTCTTCATTATTCTTCACTCTTTATAAAATACTTCATTGGCGTTGTGCATAGATTTTGATTCTCTGTTATGTGACAAGCAATTTTGGTGATGGTAAGATTTGGTCAAGTTAGGCATGAATCAAACTTTTAAGTGTGAGGTTCGAGCTCTGTTAACTATACCCTGAATTAAACGGACATCCAGGAACGAAACAATCACTGCCCATCCCTTTTCACTGTAGCCATCCAGTAACATACTCTATCATGGAGACATCCTAAAAGCAGCACACCATGTTCAAGGTTCAAATGTAAAGGCCTAATAATGCTGCTATTCAAATGAAGCTTCCGCTTTGGAAAATAACAGTCATTGTCCAATCATCTTCTTGATCTTTACTAAGTTAAAATTTATATGTGATATACTGTATTTATAACAAAATGGAGAAGAAAAAAGAGAGAATGATAGATATACATTACTACGTTGGAAAAGAAAAAATTAACTTACAACTTAACAATGCTGGTTACAGAATCGGCATGTTCTCATCCTCTTCAAAACACTATTCCTAAGTTACAATTCTTTTCTCTATCCTAGGTCACACAAAAAACAACATAATCACCTTCCATAACCCAAATGCAAAACAAGCTGAGAACCTTTCCACCTTCTGAGCTACACTTAACTATTTGCACCTTTAAGGCGTGCAATCAGCTCATCCTGCACATGGTTCCATGCATTAGCAAGGCAGATGCAGAAGAAAATATTATTGTTTGACAGTTGATATTTAATTTAGCACATGTTAGGATCCCACATTGAAAGAGAAATGGGTGGGCATGTGGGTTATAAAGGCTTGGGCACCCTCCCTTGACAAGCCGGTTTTCCAAGGAGAGTTCTACCCAAACCCATGAAAGACCCATGACCTAACCCAAATTGTTGAGTTATTGGAGTGGGTTCCTACCAATTGGTATCAAAGCATGATCTTACGCCTATGTGGCAGTGCACCCGTGGCAGGCTAACCTTGGGCTCGGGCTGCTACCCCGAGAAAGGGCATGAAGGCCCGAGGGAAAGAGGATCCGCATAATCACCCAAGGGGTAAAGAGGCTGATGGGGGTAAAGAGCCTGACATGGATGTCAATTGCGGAAGTGTGATGGAATGTTAGAATCCCACATTGAAAGAGAAAAGGGTGGGCATGTGAGTTATAAAAGCTTGGGCACCCTCCCTTGGCAAGCCGGTTTTCCAAGGAGAATTCTACCCAAGCCCATGAAAGACCCATGGTCTAGCCCAAATTGTTGAGTTATTATAGTGAGTTCCTATCCACTCAATATACTTCATCAACCAACCAAACAAAAAACAAAACATGGTTCCCTTTTACCTTGAACACATACAATCTACAGTTCATACATACCCATTTTTGGACAAATTAATGATAACAACCGAACAGGCTTGACCTGATAAGAAAGACACTGGGACTAGTTTAAGATAAAATTATCTGATACCTTCTTTCCCTTGGGTGAAAGACCTCTTTCCTTGAGAAGTGCCCGAAGCCTCTCTACAGTCAAACTGTGGTAGTCCTTCTCAGCTGTACGACTGTTCGATCCCTCTGCATGTTCAAAATCCATCAGATAATTAATAACATCTGTACAGATAAATATAGTGGGTAAAGCTAAAGCATATTAAGTTTCATCATAATATTTCAACAGCTCTATTTATACCACATAGCGACCAATATTCAAGTCCATTTAAAACGGGGCAACAAAAAATAAGAACTAAAAAATCTGTAACCAGAACTCAAGATTAATTATAAACTTTCAAAGACTTGTCTCTCAATTTACTATAATTTCAGCTAGTGACTGCCATTTCCCGAAATACTCCACTTTACAGTGAGGAACAATCGCACTATGTTCTGTGCAAAGTGCAATGGCTAGTGTTATTTCTACTTCAATCCAAAAGCATCCTCAAAAACTAAAAACAAGTGATCAACCAATCCCAAGGACCAATCAATAAAACATAGAAAACTATTTACAGTTAAATCAAAATTGCATCCAAATTATATAGGCATCTCAGAGACAACAATATTGATTATTAACCATCTTAAAACTCCTGAAGCCCATCAAGCATGTAATTAACCATCATGAACCATTACAAAAGCAGCTCCCTTGCAATTCTCTCGATCAATATTAAGTATGAGATAAAGGCAAAAGACCAACTGAACCCAGAAAAGACTGGGCCAGAGGAAAATTTTAGTAGAGAAAAAAATTCTGCCATTAACCAAAACTTTTTTTCCAGAAATGTTAACAACGTCAAACACACAAACAACAGCAACAGGAACTCCAAAAGTTACCTTGACGAGAGCAAGCTTGCATGTTGGCTCTCTTTGCTGGATTCCTACTATCCAAAACTCTTTCAGCAGCCCTGAAAATTTGAAGAATGCAGGTATTAGAGAATCCACAAGTAACTAGGACTGGGTCACCAAAGATGTTTACAAGAAGAGAATTCACAAGAGTACATTTACATGATTTGCTACAAACAGCAGGTCTATTAATGAGTGCAAACAAAATTTACAACAATTAGCCGAAACACACCAGAACAAAAACCACAAAGACATGTCAAACCTAATTCTTTCAAGAAAAAGAGATACCCTACCTCTTTTTATCAGCTCCAGCTACACCTTTCACATCCTTTGAACTGGCATCACCCTTTGGTTTCTTAAGAGTGAGTGACCTAATCAATATGTTTTGTTGGTTTGTTTTTACCAGTTGGTCCGCTGCTTGGACCAATTACAATACAAGATTAATGCTCTGCATGCTATCAAAAGAATTGGAAAATTTATACAATGTTTAAAAGAAAAGAATACCTGGGGGTGATGTGTCATGCTCACAAACATAAACTCGCATACTACCCTGCACAAATTTTAAATATTTATATTTAAGTTCCATGTCACTGAAAATGCTCCCGGAACAGGGATCTGGAATCTGATAGGTAGTTAAACAAACTAAAGCAACATGAAACCACAAAAGCTCTAAACCCAATGATCAGTCAACCAGCTATAGCAAGAAAAGTTATTAAACTAAGGAATTAGAAATAGTAAACTTCTAATAATGCAAATCATATGAAGAGATTCACTATCAATCAGGCATATTACAAAGAAAAAAAATCCCTTCTCACAATTCAAAAACTGGAGAAAATTAGTCGTGAAGGAGCAGAACAGGCCAGCGATCACTATCTAACCAGCTATGCCCACTTCTCAACAACAACAACATACCAAAAAGGCTATAAGGGAGTGGGAGATTGATAAAATTAGCCATAATAGTATCCTTACACAAAAGATACACAGAGAAACACAAGTGACTGTAACCATCAAACATTGTCATTGTTATGGTAAATTTGTGCAACAAGTGTAGCTAGTTGAAAGGCTGCCACATTCCCAAAATCAAGGCCTCTTGTTAAGGTAACCCTCGCTCAATATAAAAGAGTTAGTAGTTTTCTAAGAAAAACCTCATCACCCATGGCACAAAAAAGGATTGGGATCAACATGAAGAGATGACTAAGGCTCATCATCTAAGAGCAAGAAGGACTTATTTCCGGAAGGAATTCATCCTTATCACCCATTTGGTCATCGCCTAAAGCAAACCTTCCTTATCACCCAAAAAAGCCGATCTTACGACATCTATAACACCACAATAACATGCACTACCTCAAGACAACTCACATTGGAACCACAGAGCCTCAATCTATATAAATAGCGCCTCAATGTTTGAGTCAAATCATCACCATTCACCTACTTCTTTCTATCTAAGTAAATATTTTGAGATCTTCTGTCACTAGATTTTCTGGTACAGCTTTCTAGCTGGCACTCGCACAAAGCCACACACCAACAGGTATCCATGTTAGATTTAAAAATTTATAGTCTCTGATAACTCTACTTCACATTAAACCACCCATACGCTCAAGCAAAATCAATCTTCGTATTTGCAAGACAACATAACTATTGCATAGCATAAAAAAATATGAACAACTAACATTAATAAACATAACACATACATACAAACAAACTGAAAACCAAAAGATAAGAATTTAGATTCAATTTACAACCACCATAATCTATGAACCTGTAGTAAATCAACTAACAGAAAATTTACAAACATACAAGCAAGTACAAGTGCTTTTGTATACATCAAATCGCAAACCTAAACCTAAATTTTGGCTTCCAAGAAATCGATTCAAAATTTTTTTTTCTTGTTACTATCTACTCATCTACACAATTTATTTTCCAATGACTCAATTTTATTGAAAGAACACTTAAACTAGACCCAACACTTGTTTTCTGCTCTGTTAAGTATAAACTTCAACATTGTAAACTCAATCTAACTTTTCTTTTCGCACATTTTCTCAGCAACAAAAAAAGAAAAAATAAGAAAATTAAGGGACAAAAGTGAGGATTAATAAATGAATTAAAGTAAAGAGAAGAAGAGATCACCGGATTTGAAGAGATGACGGTGGAGGAGAAGAGGCCACGAGAAGGAAGATTAGCAAGAAAACCAGATGCACGAGAGGCCGTTTGATTTGAATCAGACGGATGCGACGAGGAGCCCTCCATGGCGCCTGAAAAACTCTCGCGAAGTATAGAAGTGTGAAGAGTGACAATGAGTCAATTTGGTTTTTGTTTTGTCGACTACTTTTGGCTTCGCTAAATATTTGGGAGCGGGACTAGTCAGAATACTACATTTTACGAGGGATCAGGATTTTTTTCTCATTCTTATTTGCTTAATTAACTTTTTTATTTTAAATTTTGATACCAAAAGGGCGTACAACATGTTCCCACCAGAAGTTTGCCCTAACGAAATTTACTATTGAAAAGTTTCAAAACGAGAATTACCCACTTTCCGTTAATAACTGTTAGTAAAATATATTAATTGACATTGATAATCATTGTAAAAACAAAAATACTCTCTTAGAATCCAAATCCAGATCGACCAAAACCGCATCACACACCAACCTAACACGTTGCCCCTACTAGCCACCACCCACACAGCCTACCCCTACTAGCTTGCCCTTTGCACCTAGAAGGAGGCCACTACTCCCACCCAACCTGCAACACTCGACAACTAACAGTGGCGGATCCAAGAATTTCACTCGAAGGGGGCAAAAAATAAACAAAAAAAAAAAAAAAAATAAACAAAAAAAAAAAAAAAAAAAAATTAACGAATCATAACTATACTTTTTTTCATTAGGATGAGATTCAATAGAAAGTTACAAAATACAAATACATATCTTCAAAAACAAAATTTTTCTATAATTGTCCTCGACGAGTTTTCATATTCTCAAAACGTTGGATAATTATCTCATCATCAATTGTATCAAATACATCTTTCTCAATATATATGACCAAATAATCATTCATCCATTGATCTCTCATTTGATTACGTAACTGACTTTTCACAAGATTCATTGCAGAAAAAACCCTTTCCTTGTAACTTATACACCAATGCAATCGCAACTGGTAAAACCAATGCAAGTTTCACAAGCTTATACACTAATGGATACAAAATATCTTTTTTAAACAAAACTAAATTCTTAGTCAAATCACCAATTCCTTGTAACTTAGCAAATTCATCACAAGAACGCATGTCAATAACATAAGTCTCAACCTGGTTCTCAAGTACCATCAACTCAAATGCAGAAAAATCAGATGGATAAAACTAGGCAAAACGGATCAATAATGGCGGATTTTATTATTAACGAGTGGGGACCACGACCCCCACTCAAACTTTAAAAAATTTCAGATTTTATATTTATTTACATTTTGCCCCCTGTAGAACTTTGACATTTTGGGAAAAGAATAGATTTTGATTTTGATTTTTGAACTCTTACCAGTTACCAGAACAACAACGCACGCCAAGAACCTCTCTTCCCTCTTTCTCTCATGGTGCAGGTGCTCTAAAGACTAAATTCTCATGTCTCTCTCACCAAACTCTCCTTCCAAGTCTCAACCAACACTACTTTTTATCAATTTATCAAAAGGTAATGTCCCTAATCCTGAATCCCTAATTTTCTCTATTCAATCGATGTTTTACAATTTTAGAACTTTTGTTATTGCATTCTTCCAATAAAATTGAGTATTATATGTTTAGAATTTGAGATTTGAAGTATAACTAAACCTGAATCCTGCTCCTGTTAGTAAACGGTCCCATATACGCAGCGGAAACAAAAATATAATATAATGATCGTTTACATGAGCCAAGATCAAGGGTATAATTTTACAATTTATATTAAAGTAAAATCTGCACAAAAAGGTTATTCATGAGTTTAGAACCATACGCACGTTTGGAGGCTCCACCACGTTTGTCTTTGAACGTTTTGCTGCCGACCTAAGCATAAGATCGAACCCACGTAGTCCACACGAAGACAATCACAAAAGAACCAAAGAGGGATTTGCTAGATCCTCTTTGGCTTTAAGATTAAGAAGAAAGGAAATCAAATTGAATTGNTATAATATATCCAATAAAATCCCTATAATGATATAGTTTAATCTAAATAGAGCTACATCTTTGATCTCACAATAAAACAGAATGGTTCAACTTCTGGATACAATTCTATATTACAATTGTAAAGGACTTATTGGTAATTGTTATGCCCAAAGAAGGCAGGGCTGACGTAAGGCCCAGTCAGCATGCAAAAGTTAGAACATGGGAACACTCGCGGCTAGTCAGAGGTGGCCACGTCATACAATGACAGAGACAACATGCTCTTGTCAAGAGCGTGGGTACGCATCGGTCCAGCCAAGAGCTATAGCGACTCCACGTCTCTAATCCCTGCACCAAATCGCGTAAATCACTTTGGAAGGTGGGTAATGGGATATAAAGAAGGATTTGCACGGATAATCTCACCAATTCACAAATTTAGTAACCATAACCTTAATCCATCCCACTATAAATTAAGGGTTCCTCTCTCATTTGAGGATTTAGCTAACCTTTTCCTAGAAAAATAGCATTCACTCTCTTGTAATCATTTGTAAGTCAGTCCGCTGAATGCGACCTAACCACTATTATCAATACAAAAATCAGTGAACGTAGTACTTGCTTCCTTAGCATCCGAACCACTTTAAACACCGTTCTTTACTTTTACTCCCTTTTTTCCCTTTCATGTGTGTCTCCTAGGCCAGTTCAATGTCTCACACGTGCGTTTGGTTGGTGTAAAAATCACGCATCAACAGTTTGGCACTAGAAGGAGGGCTTGACTTACCATTCGTCCTTTATCAGGAGAATCTCTAACTTATGGGTCCTACAATAGCAAATGGCTCGCCGACTTGAACCTGAACGGACCAATCAAGGTGATGAGGAGATCCCCCAAGTGCAGGAGGGCATCTCCCCCAGGGTCCCTTCGACCCTGCAAAATGTCGTGGGGGACATCTCCTCAAGTTCACAACTTGACCCTGTCATCAGAAACTACCTAGAGAGGTTCGAAAATACTCTCCAAATGGTCAACTGAAGATTGAACCGTTTGGACTAGGGCATGCCACCCAAATCAAATGAAGCAGTGCAATCGCCAAAAACGTTTGCAGATCGCGCGAAAGCGCAGCAGAGGGTCACAGCCCGTGCCGCGAGCATTGTAGCCACCAAAGAAAGGGTAAGCAAGTGGCAAAAAGTGGGCCTAATGGCTCCAAAGGGCTAGCGAACACCGACCACACCCTAGGTAGAATACCCGTGGTGCTAAGACTCGACAAAAAGTCACAGCCAGAGCCGTCCCATGCCACGTCGCATGCACACCCCCATAAAAGTGTTGGGCGGGGTAATTCTTATCACCGCCAGAAAAACGACCCTGGTTGTCATCGTGCGGGAAGTTCCCACACTTTGCGGGGTGGTTCGTACCATCGCAGAGGTCGTGAAAGTTCCCTACACCATCCAACGCCATCACATGGCTCTAGCTAGCGTGTGTCAAGATTGGTCAGGACTGCCAGCAAAGACGAAGAGGAATCTGACCTACAATCATTCCTCAACCGTAACCGTGAGGGTCGAACCTATGTTGCGGAAAGTAATCCCTAGGTAGCGCTGCTACCTCAAATCGAAGAGCTACAGCGAGCTCTTGATCAACTAAAAGCTCAGTAAAATGAGCAAAGGCAGGTGGCAGTAGCGTCTCTCTTTTCTCCGGCAGTGTTAGCTGCCCCACTCCCATCAAGATTTAGAATGCCTGACATGCGAGCGTTCGATGGAAATTTTGATCTGCAGGATCAGTTATATGAATTCAACAATCTGATGGAGCTTTACCAGATTTCAAACTTGGCGAAGTGCCATTGTTTGGCAGTAACTCTAACTGCTCATGCCAAATGATGGTTCAGGTCGCTCCCAGTGGGATCGATCAGCTCGTAGCCTCAGATGAGCACGACGTTCCTAAGGCACTTCCAAGCAGACCGAAAGTTCTCAATGCCTTTGAGTTATCTCAGCAATATAAGGCAAGAAATTGATGAATCCCTTTAATCGTACATCGATCGATTCCACAGAGAACTCAATAAAGTAGTTCACACTCCCGAAGAGTCTGTTCGGACTCTCATCATAGCGGGAGTTCACCCACAAACCGACCTGTGGAAAGAGTTACAAGCTGAGGATGATGTTTCCCTCACCCACTTCTATAAGCTCGTAGAGAAGTACCTCCGCATTAAAAATTCAATGGCGGCGCTCCACCACCGCAACCCCAGCCCATCAGGCAGTACGTCTGGTCAAAGGGAGAGTAGGAGAGTTGATCGCAGATGGGTTACTAACGATCAAGGAACAGGAAAAAAAACGCGCTATGAGCCTAAAAAGTCTTACGCTCTAGTTCCTCATCACGATCGCGACAAAAATCAGTATACGCCTTTGAATGCTTCTGTATCGGCTATTCTCGATAAGTCAAAAGAAGCCAGCCTGTTCAGAGAGCCTGAGCCCATGAAAAATCCCCTTCAGGCAGGAATAGTAAAAAATACTGTTGCTTTCATCGGGATAATGGGCATCACACCGATGAGTGTCGAGCTCTCAAGAAGGCAATCGAAGACCTCATCAAGCAAGGGCATTTCAAGAAATATATCGATGACCCTACTCCCTCACAGGAGAAAAATGAAGGGGAAACGGGAACAAAGCGTCGTGATAGCAAAGGGGTATGCAGCCTCAATTTGATCTTCGGAGGACCGCACTTCGCAGGGAACTCGCAAGGTGCCCAGGAAAGGAATGCTCGCACAGCCCATCATGACCCTATCAGTGTGATGAGGGGGACGCGGCGACCACAAAAGGTTCGCAGAGATGAGGAAATTACCTTCTCCGAAAAGGATGCAGTTCGATTGCATCATCCCTACGATGACACTCTTGTGATCATGCCCCTAATAGGGCGCCATAACACCCACAGAATGTTGGTGGATAACAGAATGCTGTGAACATCCTGTTCCAGAAAACTTTCGAAAGAATGAACTGGGAAGGGACCGACATGAAGCCCGCCTCGTTCCCCCTATATGGTTTTACAGGCGACCACCTGATCCCCAAAGGAATGATTCTGCTTCCAGTCACACTGGGTGACTTTGACAAAGTGACCAAAGTAACTGAATTCTTGGTAGTGGATTGCCCATCCGCTTTTAATGGTATCTTAGGGCGACCTCTGCTGAGAAACTTCAAGGCAGTCACTTCGATATACCATCTGAAGATGAAGTTGGTGAGATTACGTGGATTGAGTTTGTCATTATTTTGTCAACATGGATTGAGTTTGTCAAGATTACGTGGACAAGGTTATGACGGGGCAAGTAATATGCAAGGAGAATTTAATGGTCTGAAAAGTTTGATTTTGAGGGAGAATGAATATGCTTATTATGTTCACTGTTTTGCTCACAAACTTCAGTTGACACTAGTAGTTGTTGCAAAAAATCACATTTCTGTTGCTTCGTTTTTCAGCTTGGTTACTAATTTGATAAATGTTGTTGGAGGTTCATGTAAGCGTCGAGACATGCTTCGGGAGAGCCAAGTTAATAAATTTGTTGAAGCACTAGAAATTGGTGAAGTTAGCAAGGGACGAGGTTTGAATCAAGAGACAAGTCTAAAACGAGCTGGTGATACACGTTGGGGCTCGTATTATTATACATTGATCAACTTAATCCTTTTGTTATCCTCTGTGGGCGATGTGCTTGAGGTTATTGAAGAAGATAGGTTAAATCCTGAACAAAGGGGTGAAGCATGTAATCTATTAGATTTAATTTATTCCTTTGATTTTGCATTTAACTTACATATGATGAAAAGTATATTGGCAATTACTAATGAGTTGTCACAAGCATTGCAAAGAAAAGATCAAGACATTGTAAATGCTATGGCCCTAGTCAAAGTTTCCAAACAACGGTTACAATTGTTGAGAGATGAAGGATGACAATCTTTGTTGAGTGAAGTTTCTTCATTTTGCCAAAAGCATGATATTGCCATTTTGAATATGGATGATATGTTTGCAATTTGAGGGTGGCCACAACAGAGAGTTGAGCACATGAAAAATTTGCATCACTATCGAGTTGAATTGTTTTATACTGTGATAGATATGCAACTTCAAGAACTTAACACTCGTTTCACTGAGGTTAGTACTGAGTTGCTTCTTTGTATGGCATGTTTAGATCCAAGTAATTCATTCTCTGCTTTTGACAAACATAATTTGATCTGTTTTGCCCAGTTTTATCCATCTGATTTTTCTGTATTTGAGTTGATGGTACTTGAGAACTAGGCTGAGACTTATGTTATTGACATGCGTTCTTGTGATGAATTTGCTAAGTTACAAGGAATTGGTGATTTGGCTAAGAATTTAGTTTGGTTTAAAAAAGACATTTTGTATCCATTGGTGTATAAGCTTGTAAAACTTGCATTGGTTTTACCAGTTATGACTGCGACCGTTGAAAGGACTTTTTTTGTAATGAATCTTGTGAAAAGTTGATTACTCAATCGAATGGGAGATCAATGGATGAATGATTGTTTGGTCACCTATATTGAGAAAGATGTATTTGATACAATTGACGATGAGATGATTATCCAACGTTTTCACAATATGAAAACTCGTCGAGGACAATTTTAGAAAAATTGTGTTTTTTGAATATATGTATTTGTATTTTGTAACTTTTTGTTAAAGTCATCCTAATGAAAAAAAAAAAGTATGGTTATGATTGATTAAATTTTTTTATTTTTATTTTATTTTTTGCCCCCATCGAGTGAAATTCCAGGATCCGTCACTGCTTATCTTGAGAAAATTATCCTCCTAAATGAGCGGTTTTGCTTAAATTAAAGTCATTCTCAACATTGCAACAGGGATGACTTTTTTAACATTTAATTGTGATTGGATCTCCCAGACATCATTAGAATAATTACTTGATTAAAATTAAATGATGTTAGGTTATGTAAGATTTAGTTTTGAATACTAATATAAGGGTTGTTTGTTTTTAATTTAAGTCTGAATGCAACCAAGTGCCTGGGCATTCTGGTTGCTAGAAATATCGGTGGCACTAAAAGGTAAAGTGTCCAGGAGAAAGGGAAGAATGGTTGTGATTTTGAAGACTGGTTTTCCGTTTTAGAAGAGGTTGTGTGCGGCTTAAGCGAGAAATTTAAGAAAACAAAGAGGTTGATGGCTCAATATTGGTGTTATAATTCGAATCCTGATACATATCTTGAGAAAATATCTTCTTAAATGAGCGGTTTTGCCTAAATTAAAGTAATTTTAACATTACAAAAGGTATGACTTTTTTAACATTTAATTGTGATAGGATCTCCCAATATGTCATGAAAACTGACAAACTGATTTTAAGTTAAAAATAATCTCAAATAATATATATATTGAGAATCTTAGATCCACCTATATGGACAAAGATGGTGATTGGAATGTTGACAAGGTTGATTTCAAACATAATTCATATAATTTGTGTTAAAATTTCTAAATGAGAGGCTATATTAAAATGGAAAAAAACGTAGCCTTCCTATTAGCATAATCTTTGGAATAACAACTTTAATAATGGCAATTTTAACTGAATAAAAAAAATAAAATTCAAATTTCATATAAAGTGGTCTATGGACTTAGAATAATGGTGAGCTACTATCTATTAACTGTTATGTTATGAAGTTTAATGTTCACAAATTGTTTCCTTTAGAATCTATGAGAATAATATAAACAAGTCTAAAATCTCTCATAAGAAATCAATATTTCATTCATTGTAAACATCATAAAAACACTCAACGAGAAGTTTTGGACTTCTCTTTACAATATTGCAAGGCCAGGCGTCAAAACAACCCAATGAATAGGCAAACGCCACAGGCAAGCAAAATATAGCTACTAATTAACTAATTATATAGCCACATACAATAGTGGCCTATATTTTTGGGCCTCCTAGGACTCCATTCTACAACATTTTTATAAAAGCTAGCAATAGCTATAGTAAATTTAGCATAACAACTGCGTGAAATTTCTGGGCAAGCAACTGTTAGGTTGAACTATGCCAGAAGCTGATCCATCAGCATGGCTACATGATGCTTCAGCGGTTGATTGTTGTATGTGAGCTTACATCCTCAAGCTTATCCCAGAGCAGGATATTGTGAACTGCAATCAAACTTTAGCAACTTCGATGCAGAAGTTCCACGTATTCTGATATGTCACACACTAATTTTAACCCCTGAAGCCTGTTATAAAAGATGAATAAACAAAAGGATTAAGGGCGTGTTAAATATTTTTACACAATTGCAAAAAAAATGATTAAGCACCAATCTATCTGCAAACAAATCATAAAACGGAGACATACACTTTTGAGAATGACTGTACATATGATATGAATTTCACGAAAGTCATTATAACTTGTATATCACTTGACCAGGGCAATTTTTGTTGTCAGGGCAGTAATTTTGATCAATGACGATAGGATTTTGGACATTGCTCATGATGGCATGTTGAAAAAGAATGTTCCTTGCAAAACCACTGCTAGGTCTACCCCAAGACTTGATCCTCACTCCATTTTGAGTACCCGTAAAAGTGCAGTTTTTACTGTCACATTCTGCACTCCAGCCTCTTCTTAGCCTTGCCAAGACTACCAATGCTGCACCAAATCACGAATTACAATTTTAGTATAAGTATAAAGAAACAAAAAAAAAAATTGGATTTACTCTTTATAAAAATTTACCTGATGCCGTGGGCAGGGCACAAGCAACATTTTCAATCCATAAATTAGAGGCACCAGGGCCAATTGATACACAATCATCACCGGTCCCAATCCTAGAGTTCATGATTGTGACATCGCTAGACGATTGAACATGAATTCCATCGGTGTTAGGGCTGATGCCGGAGGCTGAAACCTTAACTCCTTGCGCTTTCACGTTGTTGCAGCCATTGATAACAATGTGAAACTCTGGCTATCTAACGATGTTAATCCATTTATGAAAATATTGTTGAGTTGAAACTCCAGTGTCTGCACATAAACACAAGAAAAAATAACAAAGCGCTGTGTAATTATAAAAATATTCTCCAAGTAATTGATTATCTAAAGAATCTTTCGACTACCGTGGCACCACTGGGGCAACTCTTTCCAGTCTTCTTGCAAGCCACAAGCCAGCACCCTGACCATCAAGAGTGGCACCATTAATAGAAAACTCGTAACATGTTCAAACATAAGCCAATTTCCAACATTCCGATAACTTATAATTGATGGAGCCACAAGAGTGTCAATATACGTAAACATATCATTGTTATGCATTGGCCTTTAAACTCAACTTTGCCTAGCAGGAACCTCCCTGGTGGCACATAAACGGTGGCGGCGTCGATCGAGCCACAGGCTTTACTCCATGCATCAAGAATGCTTTGAAGAATCAGTTTTGCCATCGGATTCGGCTCCTAAACTGAGCACATTGTAAGTCACAGGAATTGCCAAAGATGAATCAAAGAAAAGGATCAAGAAAAGCACGAAAGAACAAAAGAACTAATCGGTTTTGCCATTTCTTCTCTTGAGACAAAAAGAGATGGGTGATATTGAAAAGTTTGAGAGTTCAAGGTGTAGAATGTCGGTTGAAATGGTTGAATTTAAGCGGTATTTATAGGTTTTTGAATGGAAGTACAGAGAAGAACATAGCATCAATTTAAAGCAATCAGCGCCGGAGTTTTGCATGAACTATTAAGAAATGTACTTGGAACTTGGATATATTTCAAAGGTGGTTAATAAATTAAGCCGCCATGACATCAGGATTTATGTCTTCTGTTTGCTTTAAGCAATAAAGTCCAATCCTCGATTTCGCCAATCTTTCATTTCTAACGATATTGTCCTTAACTTCTTGTTTTCTTGAATTTTCAAGCACCATTTTTACTAGTTTCTAAATAAGGAATGAATGTTTTATGAGGTTTGGGCTCTGGCATCCAAAAACAAGACTTGTTAACTTGCTAAGTGGAGTGATCACTACTCTTTCTTGTGAAACATGAGGTTCCTTTTAATTATTCAATGTGAGACTTTCTCTCATTTGAAATATTTGTATATAATGGTGATAGTCAAAATAAAATTAGTGGGTTGTTCAAGCTATAATAGACAAGTTAAATTGCTTAAAATGTAAATCTATATAATAAATTTTATTTGCTCTTAACTAAATTCTATTGCAACTTAATCGAATACATCGTGATCTCGATAACTTGTATATAAAATTAGATTAATAATTAAAAATTAAAAATAAGATAACGATAATGATAACTTTCCACTCTTGCTGAAGTGGCCTTTACCTTCACTTAATTTATAGATTTCAATACTAATGTTACATTTACATAAATCTATAAACCACATAGATTGCTCGAGTGTAAGTATAGTATAAAATGCATGCAACCTTCTATATATATTATATATATATATATATATATATATATATATATATATATATATAATATATATATATATATATATATATATATATATTAATGTAACTTTAAACTAGGCATCCATTTATGTTTTGACACCTAAGAGTACAAAATTTTAAATAAATAAATGAACAAATAAATAAAATGGTTGAGTGATCATAATAAATTAATTGTATTTCCTTCTGATTGGGGCTTGCTTCAGGGCATGAATTGGAGTGCTTCTCGGGCATCCAAATGGTCAATTTCTGTGTTATTCTTTATTATGAAATATTAATATATTTTTCTTTTGTTTATGAATCTCTCTACTTAATTTGCTCTTCATAATCTACGGTCATACAAGTATTAATCTACTTTCCTCTGAAATCACGCTGACAAAGCAGGATTTCATCTAAATTATGAATCTATTAATGGTAGATAGAAGCTTAAATTGCTGCGAGATTATTCCTCAAAAGTGAACATAACTTTAGAAATTTGGTGAAAGTAATACTTAACAATATAACATAAAATATGGTGGATACAAATCTCACTTTAGTCAATGATCGTTTTACATTTTCAATGGCATGTGAGGTAGTGAATACAGTTAACTTTCTACTGAATTTGTTAACTAGAAGAAGCAATTTAATAAATCAGATTATAAATGTATACGTCTTGAGTCCCGAGTAATATATATTGATATTTTTTTTTCTTTCGGTGCAGAAATTGCCATGGATAGGACTGATTATACTTAATTGATAACTTAGTAAATGGTTAACAAACACGTAATATAATTAATTAATGTTTAATGATCTATAATTAATAACTAGTTTCTCTACGTCATTCTGACGAAATATTCAAAGGTTTGAAAATATTCTTGGGAAATTTTT